TAATTCATTTCCCTGTTCTCTGCATATTTGTGTTATTTTTTGCCACAATGCACATCTATTTTTGTTCTACAGTTCTTCCAAGGGCGTGTGATGGTTGAAATTTTGGCGCTTTTCTAACTTTAACATGATCTAGGACAGGCGAGGAGTCACAATAACGTGGCTGAAATATGTTGACCAGACCACACACTAGAAAGTAAAGGGACGACGACGTTTCGGTCTGTCCTGGACAATTCTCGAGTCAATTTTGACAATTGACCATTCTCAAGTCGATTGTGAAGGGACGACGAAACGTCGTCGTCCCTTCACTTTCTAGTGTGTGGTCTGGTCAACATGATCTAAGACAGTTTCAGTTGTTCGTATTCCTCCTTCCTTGGCTAAGTAGTTATATATACGCTAATGACTGGAGTTCAATTATTAAGCTCCCCCATACCCATCCGGTGGACGGTATTGGGAACGGTTACAGAGACAATCTAGTTTGTGTCCTGCACTAAACCAGTAGTGTAGGGGGGGGGGGGGGGGGTGTGGCGAATGTTTCTCGCGGTCACGTTAACCGCCGAGGTGAAGGCTTCCTGTGGCGGCGTACAGCTGCCAGGTAGCGTGGCCAACAGTAGTAGAGTAGGGCTGATAGTGGAGGGATGAGAGGTGCGGGGCGGGGCGGGGCGGAGCAGGGAAGAACAGGGCAGGGTGGGGCGGGGCAGGGCGGGGCGGGGAAGGGTAGGACGGGGCAGGGCGGGGCGGGGCGGGGCGGGGCGGGGCGGGGCAGGGCAGGGCAGGACAGTGAACACAGGGTAAGGTGTGAAAGCAGTAATACCGGAAGGTGTGGTTGCCGAGGGTCGGGGCGGGCAGAGCCAGGCTACACCATTATCACTGAGGGTTGTGGGTAGAGGTAACACGCTAGCAGGGGGTGTGGGACAGGGAAATGGAAGGGTCACCGCACTCCACAGGATAGTGTGTAAAGGAAATGGGGGGTTAGGAAGGATGGAGTGGGTGGGAGGGATGTGGTAGCCTAAGACCGGATGGTAGTCTTTTTACTCACTGTTTAAACTGACATGATTTTTTTTTCCCGGTAGACCTCTGTAGGAGCTGGTACCTGGATTGTACCCACAGCCCCGCTCCTGTACCAGGTAAGTCCACGACGGGCTCACCATAGCCCGTGCTACTTGGAACCTTTGTTCCCAGTAGCTGAATCTAAAGCATGAATTGTACCTGGATGGTTGTTTGTTGTTGTTTTTAGATTCAGCTACTGGGAACAAAAAGTTGCAAGTAGCACTATGGTGAGCCCGTAGTGGACTTACCTGACACAGGAGCGGGGCTGCAACTGTCAGAGTATCAGCTGCAATCGGGCTCACCATAGCCTGTGCTGCTTGGAATTTGTTGTTCCAAGTAGCAAATCATTAACAACAACAACAACATCAGCTGCAACAGTCACCTGGATGGGGTTCTGGGAGTTCTTCCACTCCCCAAACCCTGCCTACTTGTGTCTACTCCTCCAAAAATATAACTCTTAGTTATTAGACCCTCCAGAAGCTCTGGGGAAAAGTGGCAGCAGTCCTTGACGCGAAGCCTAACTCATAACATTAACACCAAGCTGCCATATAAGTTAGGGGCTCCTCGCCTGGGTCTCGCCTCCAACACTCACATTCTAACAATCATATAAAATGTTTTCGTCCTTCTACTCCCTCTATAAAGGTCAAATATCAAAGACCAAACACTCGGACTAGTATGATCTAATATGTGTATGGCATGATTATAATAACGCCACAGTGACGTCACACACCCGTACAACATATAAATAATTTTATCTCTTATTTTCGCAAGGTTAAATTAGATTAGGTTAGGTTTGTTTTTAAAATGGAGATGACAGTGGGGGATGCATACATTTCTCAGTTCTTAGCCCCCTATAGGCCTATACTATGTGAAGTCACAGGCCTATACTATGTGCAGTCACAGGCCTATACTATGTGAAGTCACAGGCCTATACTATGTGAAGTCACAGGCCTATATTATGTGAAGTCACAGGCCTATACTATGTGGAGTCACAGGCCTATACTATGTGCAGTCACAGGCCTATACTATGTGCAGTCACAGGCCTATACTATGTGAAGTCACAGGCCTATACTATGTGAAGTCACAGGCCTATTATATGTGAAGTCACAGATCTTAAAGGACTTGGTTGTGAGAATAGTAAATTCTAGACACTTACTATCTGGCTCAGACAGACTAAGACTTCAAGTTGGGCGGGAATGTTATATATATATTATAATAATTATTTTAAGTAGTAATGACAGTAGCAGCATAATTATAAAACAATAAGATATAATGTACTTATAACAAGCCACAATACATAAAAACAAACCATAATAAACTTTTACCAAGAAATAATACATTTTTATTGTATTATAAAATAAAAGAAATTATAAATAAATAATATTCAAGTGCAGTTAGTTTGACACAAATTATTTTTTGTTTATTAAACAATATACAATATAAAGATCATATATACATCAATTTACAAGGAAAAAATACTACATCGTACAACATAAGAACTCATTGAAAGAACTCTTGTATATAAATATATATATATATATTTATATATATATATATATATATATATATCCATAACACGCACCGGTTCAGCCTGTGAAGAGTGAACTAAGTTAGTGGAGAGAGAGATACGAGAGAAGAATAGTGTCAGGTGGAGAGTGAGGCTGTGTCCCCCATACACAATGTCCAAGGTCGCTCTGTTGTCATACCTGAGCTCAGTGGCGCCTCCTGCAACACCCATTGTCAGTAGCAGCAGTCCTCAGTGTGTGCTGAGGGTGTAGATGACTGTCCAGTGGTCCTCAGTGTGTGCTGATGACTGTCCAGTGGTCCTCAGTGTGTGCTGATGACTGTCCAGTGGTCCTCAGTGTGTGCTGAGGGTGTTGATGACTGACCAGTGGTCCTCAGTGTGTGCTGATGACTGTCCAGTGGTCCTCAGTGTGTGCTGAGGGTGTTGATGACTGACCAGTGGTCCTCAGTGTGTGTTGATGACTGTCCAGTGGTCCTCAGTGTGTGCTGATATGGAGCTATGTGATCATATATTACTACTCTTAAACGGTATATAATTAAAACAACAATGTCTCCTCAGTATATCCTATATGTTTGTGTGTGAATTAGTGAAGCGTGTCGCTTTATATGTCAATAAATCACGACAGAATGAATCTACATTGACAAATATATGCAAACAAACGCTAGTTAAAGTGCGGTTATTTTGATATAAGTAATTATTTTTTATTTTCTTTATTAAAAAATATACAGTATGAAGATCATATTTACATCAATTTACAAGGGAAAATACTACATTTATATATATAGTGAATATAATTCTCAGTAAACCAATTTTCCATATCACCACAGAGCCGTAAACCCCAAATATTATACTTGATCTTGCCTTGCAAGATCTTCAATATTTTGTCTACTGAGTAACCCGTACTGTAACTAGATCCATCTCCCTATACACATCTTTTCCTTAGGTCGTCTATCTAAAGTTTAAGGCGATACAACCTTGAAACAAATCACAGCAAAAGTATTCAAAAGACAACTCACACTTATGCACACACAAGGTATAAACATCAGCCTCAGAGCGTGTCTAGCCTACTCTTTTAACGTATTATAGAACAACCAAAATAATTTCTCAAATTTCAAATTACATTATTATAAATTATAACCTTATAACCCAGCAACCAGGAGGCCTGGTCGACGACCGGGCCGCGGGGACACTAAGCCCCGGAAGCACCTCAAGGAAGCACCTCAAGGTATATATAACTTGGCTATTCTCTTGGCAATTATCTCAACCCATCCTTGAAAACAAAGTTCTTAAGTTAAACACTGAGTCGCTTAAATGATATTTAGTCGGAAAGTGAGTTAGAGAGCAGACATCCCGCAGACAGAACAGCGGGATGAGGCTAGTTCATACAGCATGTAAGCAGACTTTTATGCTCAATGAATCCGACGGCTCCTTGTTTTGAGGCAAGTTATTTGTCTTAGCAGTATTTGGGAGAAGCATTTAGAGAGGTGCGAGTCGAATACAAGACGTAAGAGAAGCATCGTTTGAGATGCGGTTGGAACACTTTTTTTTTGTATTAATACATTTAGATACATCTGCATATGTGCAGCTGCCCTTAGACTATATAAAGGGGGGTACAGTCTGTCAAAAACTAGCTACATGATGCTAAAAAAAATCCCCATCACACAGGATGGTTAGCCATACAGGGCCATATGTTCAGTAGCCTGTACAGGGAAATTTTGGGTGCATTATGAGGATATCCTCAAGAAGACAAGAGTTTAGTTACTAATTGCAAAACTCCAGGTATCTTATTGCAAAGCTCCAGGTATTTTATTGCAAAGCTCCAGGTATCTTATTGCAAAGCTCCAGGTATCTTATTGCAAAGCTCCAGGTATCTTATTGCAAAGCTCCAGGTATCTTATTGCAAAGCTCCAGGTATCTTATTGCAAAGCTCCAGGTATCTTATTGCAAAGCTCCAGGTATCTTATTGCAAAGCTCCATGTATCTTATTGCAAAGCTCCAGGTATCTTATTGGAAAGCTCCAGGTACCTTATGCCAACGGGTCTGAAAGGTCTAATAACTGGGCAGTCAGTGAGAGGGCACAACGGGGTGAAAATAGTGTACTAACACTGTTAATACATCAGACCAACACGTCCAAAAGCCTGAGCAACACCTGGTCTGGTCAGGACCTAGTTAAGAGTCTGGCCAGCCCGTGGCATCTCAAGTTCCAATCACGTCTGGGGACAATTTAACTTCTCTATACTCCTTCCCCTGCACTTATATACACCAATTTGCGTCTCTTAACCGAAATATCTTAATACTGCGAACACTTCCCATGATGTCTCGGTAGCATTTGAATAAATGGGTCAAAGTAGGAGGGAAATATGAGAGATTGAAGCAGTACGACAAGAGTGTTAAGATGGGCATGGTTCGGGTGTTTGGGTTCAGTCGCCCCCCGCAGGTGGTGAGAGGCGGATGTGTGCGTCCGCGCTCCCACCTCTCCTCCCCCACCTCCCCTCTTCTTGCTCACTTACTCTGACTTTCTCAGTTTTAACTTTTCCGAAAATTTATTTTGAGTTGACATTGTGTTTATAAGCGACTTTGCCCTATGAAAGCATATTATTGTGATTTTTTTAATGAGAGATTGGTGTATATCCACAGTGATAACTGCATTCTAGTGTAGTGGAACGATTCATAGAAATATATATATATATATACTATATTTGTATGAAATTGATAGTGTGTATTCTGAAGCAAGTGTTTCGTCGGTGCAAGAGGAAGAAGCTCCAAGACGTAACAATCTTAACTAGCCACTTGAGGCTGGTGATCAGACGCGATTAACAAGGTAAGATGATCCTCAGAGCCTTGAGGCTGACATGACAATTACCCCTTAACATAGCAGCAGGAAATGGCATTTTTTTTCCTGGAGGGGTGAAGAGCGATAGACTATATAATCCAGGGTGTATAAGACGGTAAATGTCATTATTTATCTGGTAGAAGAAGTTTATCTCAGGAGGAAGATAATTATTAGGGTGAACACCTGGCCAAGGAATTGGTGCCTGGGGTTACACACGTGTGAACGGGATGAGGCGCTACGGAAGGTGTGTGTGTGTGTGTGTGTGTGTGTGTGTGTGTGTGTGTTGTGTGTGTGTGTGATTTGTGTTTGTGTAGCATCTGTTTGTGCCAAGTGCAAGCAGTTGTGCCAATTCATCTGTTGAGTAGTAAAGGTTGAACGGTCGGCTTGGGGGAGGTACTTGTCAGTCAACGTGGGGTGCTATCCTCTCTGCCATGGAGGAGGGGAAGGTTGTTCAGCAGTTGGCAAGAAAGAGGGAAGGTTGTTCAGCAGTCAGCAAGAAGGAGAGAGAAGGTTGTTCAGCAGTCAGCAAGAGAGAGGGAAGGTTGTTCAGCAGTCAGCAAGAGGGAGAGAGAAGGTTGTTCAGCAGTCAGCAAGAGAGAGGGAAGGTTGTTCAGCAGTCAGCAAGAGGGAGAGAGAAGGTTGTTCAGCAGTCAGCAAGAGAGAGGGAAGGTTGTTCAGCAGTCAGCAAGAGGGAGAGAGAAGGTTGTTCAGCAGTCAGCAAGAGAGAGGGAAGGTTGTTCAGCAGTCAGCAAGAGGGAGGGAAGGTTGTTCAGCAGTCAGCAAGAGAGAGGGAAGGTTGTTCAGCAGTCAGCAAGAGAGAGGGAAGGTTGTTCAGCAGTCAGCAAGAAGGAGGGAAGGTTGTTCAGCAGTCAGCAAGAGAGAGAGAGAAGATTGTTCAGCAGTCAGCAAGAAAGGAGAGGGAGTGTATATTATAAATTTCCTAGTATAACTGTGTATACCTTTACTTCATAGGTTTCATATAGCTTCCGACCTACATGGACAGATCCTCTTGTAAAAGATAATAGTTGTGTACCTGAACTAATGGATAAATACAATTACATCAAAAACCGCGATAGTACTCCAGCACGGAGCCACATTCACTAACAAAGCCACTGCCAAGTCCAGAGAAATTCGTATGTGGTCCTCCGGCGGTGTGGGATATCTGCTCAGTCTTTATTTGGATGTCCCCACTAAATTTGCTGTTGTCTTGGCTTATCTAGATTTGGACACTAAATTCCGAGCGTTCGGCTACTGTGAGACCAGGACCTGCATCTTCAAGTATCTACGGTAGTTATTATTAGACCTGCTATTGATCTGATTATAGTTAGGCTGCTCTTGTTTATCATCATAATTATTTATCACTATTGTTTTACTGTAGCCAAGAACGAGACGGGTTTTGACGGACTAGTTAGTGGTGGGTGAAAGTACAATGTCGGTCAGTTTTTCAAGCATGTTAATTGCGTTAGCGGACCACATGTTCTCAAGGTTGGTAAATAGTTTACGTATAATTTGGCTCACAGGATAAAATCTTAATATATATATATATATATATATTTATTGGTTTCATGAATATTTTAAGTTTTGATATATCGGTACCAACCCAGCTGTTGTCGCGCGTCACAGCTGACCTGGGCTACTATGATAGTCGTATTACATTATGGTGTCGTTATCTATAGTTACATAAAGTACTATTTAAACAGGAGGATGGGTTGTATAATACATCAGTCAGAACAATACCACGTGCTAACCCCAAGCACCACGTGTAAGCTCCACAAAGTAAACCTGACCTTTCCCGGTAAAAAAAAACTCAGTCCAGTCATCAGAGTAACCCCACTCTGCCTCCCTATCCATACACAATAAATGTAATCAGACATAATCACTGCCAATGTATGCCGAACCCGTGCGCACGTGAAAGGGAATTCAAACATCTCCCCATGCACACCAGGCCCACACAGGGATGCCATGGAGGGCTTCATCCACCTCACTAACAGAGCCTTGTGTTTACAAAAAGTAAAGCCGTGTGGTTTACAAAAACCACATCAAACATTGACAACTCTTCATAACGTAAAAACACAATTAGCAGTGTCACCAATGGCCAACACATGCAGCCTAGCATTAGTAGGAAGAGTCTCAGAGAATGAACGGCATACAATTTCGCGCTGCCTTGGTGCAATCAACTTAAAACTCACATTTTTTCACACCGATCATGAGGTGGGAATGTAGCTTCTACAGCAGGGGCTACACGCAGAAGCAGGATACCATAAACATTTGTGCTAAATGAGGCAACCACTCTACAAAGCTGCCGTAGAACATTAATTACACAAGTATTTAAAATGGGTCAAACATAAGCTCATCGTACTGGGGCATGCGTAGGAAATAGCTCACATAGTCAGTTCATAATAATAATAATAATGCCCCAAGGTGCTCATCCCATCTCAATACACAAACGCCCTCATTGATGCAACAAACAGTATGGCCAAACCTTATAATACACATTTTGGATCCCATTACAAACATATCCCCTTTCCAGATGGTGAGTGGTAAGTCTGGCCGTCTCACACCACATATTGCAATCGCCTTCACTAAATTATGCACTCAAGCCACACCTTTTGAGTGTACTTTACACTTCAGTATCAACCCTTAGAATAAGGAGATATAATTCGCATCTTTCGGATGATATTGACGAAATATCAGCTTGTGCATACAGACTGGGAGTTTACAATGGAAAAATGACAGTAAGCTTATGGAACTTAGGTGTAGGAGATGTAATGCATTACGTAGGCCTAAGCGGAAATAAAATATATGACTTCAAAAAACTAGATACGTATTTTGTGAATATTGTTTTTAATTAAATGTAATTCCAAATTAGTTTTGCCTAACTTGTATACAAATTTATGTATGGTTGTGGGTTGTTTTGTTGTTTAATTAAGAGTCGCTACCTGGAACAAAAAGTTCCAAGTAGCACGGGCTATGGTGAGCCCGTAGTTGGTTGTGGGGCTGGCTGCTATCTACCTCTGAATAGGCCTAGCGGACGAGAATGGGTGGGGTGGTGATATTCCGATACTCCTCGAAAGTAGTAGGCGTTTTTCTAGCCTATATAATGAGACCAAATTTTGTTCTTGTTCTCACCATTTTAGATAAGAAAATGGTAGCTCATTTATTTGCCTCGAAATGGTCGCTCTTATTACCTATACCTCTGCTGTTAAATTTTAAAGTTTAGCCTAGTTGTAGACGTCTTCAACAAATGGTTATTTAGAAATTTGTATGCCTAGTGGGTTTTTTTTTCCAAAAAATATCACTAGCGCTTAGCTCAGTTGGTCCTGGCATGCTTCTTAAACATATGTTTATAAAATGTAATAATTTATTTATTTACACGTACACCTTTTGCTTAGTTCGCAAGTAGTTTATTTTTTTAACTATCTGTAAAATATGTAAAAATTAATTTTGTAATATTTATACCCATAAGAGAATGTTTTTTTGTAAAAAATTGTATGCCAAACGCTTGGTGATAGCCTCTCCCAAATTTGCAAAAGCAAATGGTCTGACGTATGGGAGACATAAGCTTGTCGTGGAAGGCTTTAGTTAAATTCTTTAATAAATATTAGAAACTATAAGCACCCCCTAGGCCATTTTTCGTAGTCTTTCGTGGAGTTAAATATGAAGTGATTAACGTGTTAATCACAAGTCATATTTCGCCTCTGCTTAGTGAAGAGGGGGCCGAACAGTTAAGGATTGAGGGCCTAGTCAATCCTCCTTTGACAGGACTCGAACCCAGACCAAATCGCTCGGTAGGCGCCGTAACTAGTGTATTACTACTTATCTGGGTGTCCATGCAATTGGGCCAGGTGAGGAATCTTAAAGAACATTGGTCTTGCTGAAATTAGCCTACTGTTACCAACATCGTTTTTAGATTGATTTGCTTCACCAGACTGCATGTGGTTCTTCATAGTGATTATAACTCGTATGTCAACCCCAGGATATCTATTATATTGATTCATATCTTGTGCATTATCACTCTCCCTCTTGTCTACTGTTCCTCCTATCTATCGTGCACCTCTCACCATTCTCTTCTCTTCTCTTCTCCCTTTCAACACCTCTCCATCTTTCTTACACCTTTCCCATATATCTTCCTTCCCCCTTCCCATTCTTTTACCCCCCTCTTTCTCTTCCTTTCACGCTTCCCCATCTCTCCTTCCTGCCTCTTTTCCCGCTATAAAATGAATTTCGTGCGCCAGCCCCATCAAAGTCTCCAGATAAGGTAGTACCATTTTCTGAAGATACGACGCCCATTGATATGGACGCATCAAAGATTTGGAAGGCTACTATTGAAGGCTATATAGGCCGTACGAGCTTCGTGGGGGAAAATTACTAACTTACATTTATTTGTCATAGGCTATCGGGGAAAAAAGAAGAATGTAGGTAGGCGTAGCTTCTGTGGGAAAGTTTAAGGTTTAATTTTTTTTTATTATTATTATTTTCTACCACAGACGTGGCCAGACATTTACAATGCTAACTAGCATATATACATTTTCTTCTGTCCTCCATGGACAGGGTGAAAGATTTGTCAAACACAGTTCAGAGATTTATTGAAAAACCACAGAAGGTGATCGTAGTGCTTTTAAAATGTTAGGCTGAGCTACATACGTAAATACATAGATACGTAGATTTATGAATGTATTAATGTGACTAAGGTTTAAGTGTGGGCGCCATATTGCGTGGAGCCCGCGTGACGTCACTGTCACACTAACGGTCAGGAAATTCAAAATTTCTAGCTCCTTTCTTTGTGTAAAAATCTCTTTGCGTAAACAAGTGGAAAAGTTTGTATTATTGTAAACTTTGAACTGTATTTTAGCTTATTATGGAAATTTGAACCCATCTTGTTTAAATAGTACCTTTTGTAACTACGTGCATTATCGTATATATACAGGGATGTAATTGGCAATAGTATATTTTGATATTATTCACTTTATTGTCAGGAAAAAAATATA